TGGAAGTCCTTTTCAACCCTATAGTTCAAAAACTACAGACTTCATCTACCCTGACCTCTTAACAACCATTACTTTGTATATTTGCTACCATTCAAAAAGGAGATATGAGATAAATGAAATCTATCAATATAGATTTTTCTCAATTTAAGTTCAATGCTTCCAATTAAGCACAGCCTAAGTAAAAAATTTACATTATTTTTATTTCAACACTTTATTCAAGCACAAAGTTCAATAAGCATATGATGCTTTATCTAAAATTATTTTAATGTTGAAAAATGGCTGACAGAAGTAGAAAAACACAGTAAGAAAGTCTGTGCTCCTGGAGAATGGAATATCATAGCACACTAAATATGATTATGTGATGTGTCCAATCACAGCATCACCTGTGAGTTAGACAAAACTCATCAGAATTGTGTTCTCTAATCAGATGTGAAATTATCACACAAAATTGTTAGACCAGCAAGCTCTCTCCAGCTAGCACTGTTTGCAAGTCTCATTCTAGCTATCAAGACCAGAAAGTTAGCACTAGATTTTAGTCATATTTATGGTATCAAGACAAATCTCTCAACTTTTCAATCTACTCTTCTACCCTTCTATCAACCTACCCTTCTTGAAAGTTGGTAGAAGCAGTAGTTATTAACATAAATTACTGTGATCACCATGGGCCATCAGAACCCAAGAATCAACCATAACTGAATCTCAACAGCAGATGTAGAAGGAAAGATACTTTCCAAATGCCTTGTTGTAATGAAACAACAAACTACTCTTTGATGGGTTGATATTTATATAGTTCAATTAACCTCCTCCTTACTTCTGGAAAATTACAAATAGTTTTGTGCAGAAAAGGATCTCTTAAAATTGGGAGACTAAGAAAAGTGGACGGTTCTTCTTACACTTCCTATCTCTTTCCTTAAATGACTTGTTTTTGCTCTAAAAGCCATTAAAACTGGAATGGCATATCCATTAGGAAGAAGGCCTATGGCTATCAATATTTTGCAAACTACTTTAATCAGAAGATTCCAGGTGTTTCTCCAGCAGAACATTTTTCCCTAACCACTTTAGTTTGACTGATGCTCTGTTATAGGCACAGCTAAGGTTACAAAAACTTGGATAGAATTTAAAATGCAAGCCATGTCAACACATGAATGTGAAACAAATAAAGTGTCATGTAAAAAATGTAAAAAAAAAAAAAAATCACTGTGCTCCACCTAGTTTAGACAGGGTACTCAGTCACATTTGTAGTGCTAGAAAGCCTCAATCCCACTTGCCTCAATTCCCAGTGTAATGTAACTGAAATCTCAGCTTCTAATCTAGGGTACTTATATCCAGCAGAAATAAGAAACCTCATAGTGTCGAACTCACAAAGCTCCAAAGTGATCTTGGTTACTTTTCATACCCTTCACACTTAAGACACCAGAAATACCATCTCCAGTGCCCTCTTCTTTATACCTGTCATGTTGCCACAAGAAAGCATTGAGATAATGACTAAAACCTATGAATATAAATCTGCAACATTTCTTTCTAAACTATTCATGCACTCCAAAGCCTGAAGCCTATTAGTTTTTTTTTTTTTTTTTTTTTGGTGGCTGGCCAGTGCAGGGATCAAACCCTTGACCTCGGTGTTATTGGCACTATGCTATTACTTATTTTAATATGTAGAAATGTATACACAATAGTGAAAAATAAGACTTCATCTACTGTCACTACCAAATGGAAGTATAGAAGCAGTATTCTCCTTTCACTATAATGAGTTACCTGGTGAAATACTGAATTTAAAGGGGGACATTACATTTGAAATTATCTTTGTACACAGAGAACTCTGACTATGGAAGATCTTTCTTGAACTCACGTTCTAATTAAACAGTATGCCTTTGGTTTAAAGAAACCTGAAGAAATCAATGAAGAAAAATTTTTAAATAGAATTTAACCTGCATCTAATCTAATTTCACCTGTGTCATTCAATAATCAACTCGAAAACAATATTAGAAGTAGAGGTTTGCTATAAACACTTTAGTAATTTTTGCCTCTGCTCTTTAACTTGGCCTGCCCTACTATTACACTACTACTCTCCTGATTTTCATTACTTTCTGATAAGAATTCTACCAGTTTTGCAAAGTCATTCTTATAGACTTTCAATCTCTTTCTCTCATCTTGAAGCTTCTATTGATTAAAAAACTGCTCTCAAAGAGCAGGAGTTGATTGAATGGCAAAAATAATACACACGCATGCATTTATGACATAATATGGAACATGTGAAATGGATTGTGAAAGTGGGGGAGGAATAAACTTTATTGGCCCATAGAAGGGATGAGGGAATGAGAAGGAGGGGCTGGGGAAAGAAATGAATATGGGTGGAAAAACTAAAATGGTATGATTCAAAATGTGCAAATACACTTTGTAATCTCCACCATTCAATTTAGGGATAGATATGTACAGTGAGATACACATAGGCTAAAGTGAGTTTCACTTTGTAGTTGATGCTACTTGTACCAGTTCTGTAATTAGTAAGTCACCATTTAATTCTGCCAAAGTCAGGCAAAGCTCTCTCTGGTTAGTGTAAACAAGGTTTTCCATCCTGGGCTGCAGTCTGACCCTCCAGTGCTCAGAAGGCATGCTTGTGACGAACTCTCACACTTTCCAGTTCCCCACCTCCAATGGCGGCCAGGGTCTCCAGCCTGCTTAAACGCTCCAGGCTTCTTCCAAGAACTTCTTCTAGCCGACCGCGTAACACTTGGGCCCCATCCAGTTCCACCTGCAGAGTTCGGTCTCTCTCAGAGCTAATTAAACATGCCACATGGAAGGAAAATGGATTAGCCATCAACTGTAATGAATCCACATATGCTTCCAAAGGGCCATCAACGCCACTCTGAGCCATGAGATTTTCTAAAGTAATTGTTCTCCAGGACACAATAAATGAATGTTGTCTTTGTTGTGGCACTTGTGTTCACTGCTGGTAGATTAGCAAGGTCTGCTCCTTTCTTTAAAGTTTGACCCTTTATGCTAGATTCTGGGCCAATCAGTTCCTAAGATTTATCTCACAGCCTTATAGCTCAAGTAAGAGAAATTTCATTACTTGACTAAGAGCTTTAGTTTCTGAAAAACTAAAACTCAGGAAAAATGAAATATAAACTGAAGCAAAACTGAGCCAAGTAGGACTGCTACCGAAGATATTTCTCATTTGTTACCAAACTTGACAATGCTCAGAAAAGGAATTCAGTTCACAAAGACTTTAAAGATCCAGAAGTTCTTTAAAAAGTAATACAATCAAGTGGTCCTATCACACCCTTCATTTTCCTGAGGTAGAAAGAAAACATGTTTAAAACACAACAATAAACTGGAAGAAAATGAATAGTAAAAACATAAAAACTGTGAAAGAGAAAAAGGGGCTAGGAGGAAAGGCAAAATGAGGAAAAAATGAAGGGAATATAAAATGAACCAAAAAGACATATGTGACCAAAAATCAACAGACAAAAGAAAATATATTCATCATGATGGTAATCACAGATCCCGGGGTATATTAAGCCATCACAATGAATGTATTTTCTTCAGTGATATTCAATGAATATCAGTGCCTTTTATAGCCTTACTTTTATAATAGAATAGCCTTTAACAGAACATGAAGCAGAAAAAGGAAAGGAACATACACTAAGTGCTTACTATATGCATGTTTTAGACATCTACCCTGTCTTCTCATCTAATCTTTGCAATAGCTATGTAAAATAGGCACTGCTCCTGACTTGAGATTTAGACACCGAGGCTCAGAGCAATCCACATAACAAATAGAGCAATCCACACAGCAAATGATCAAGAGGATAGCCCCAGTAATTGTCCCTGCTTTC